GGGCACCCAATCTTCATAGACTCCGTCCTTAGTCTGTAACAAGTGGTATCAGAGCAATTAAGGACCTTGTGGGGAGTCTACTGAAGTGTGAAGACCCTCCTAGACCCACCATGGCCTATTGGCGTGCCTAAGTGGAGTTCTGGAGGTTGGATGTGACTTCCGCTAAGGGGAAACTCTACCGAAATTTCGTTGGCGTCGACACTTGTGAAGATTGTGTGGATCTACATTGTGCCCAGCAAAGGGGGGAGCTGAAACCTCTGATTGGGAGCAGAGGAGATGAATCAAGGGAGTGGAGATGTAGCTGAGAAGAGGAGTGAGCCGCCACCATCCAAGATTGAAGCTTTGGATGGCTCCAACTATGAAAATTAAAACGGGCGGATGCGGAGCGCTTTCAAGCGCTACAAGCTGCTGAAAATTGCAATGGGAGAGGAGAAGATGCCAGGGGAAGGAGATGCCCGCGATCGGTGGATTGAGAAGAGCGCGGTGCTGTACGACCTCATCCTCCAATCGGTCAACAACGACATGTTCCAGCACATCAAGGATTTGGTGGAGTTGGATGATTCCGGACCGAAGGCGTGGAAGCTGCTACGCGACGTGATTCAGCCCAACACGCTCCCGATGGTGATTGTGTTGGAGAAGGAGTTGGCTGCCCTCTCCATGAAACCGGGAGATGATATGAAACCGGTCCTTGACAAGATCAAGGACACCTATGCGAGGATGGCAGCGGCGGGCAGCAAGGTGTCGGAAATGCAGCAGTGCACAAAAATCATCTCGGTGCTTGACAACTCGTGGGACAACCTTATCCCCACCCTCAACGCTCAGCAGGACAAGTGGACGCCTGAGTGGCTACGGCAGCAGATCCTGCAGGAGGACTTCCGTAGGCACCACACGGGAGGTGGTGCTGCCAACAAAACTGCTGAGGGGTATGGAGCTGCAGGAGGCAGTAGGGGGAGAGGGGGAGGGAGAGGCCGAGGCCGTGGGAGAGGCTTTGGCAGAGGAAGAGGCCGAGGTGACTACAACGAGGGGCATGAGAGCTCTGGTGGCAGGAGGAGCACCCGAATGGAGGGTGCGTGCTGGTACTGCAAGAAAGCTGGACACCCGTGGTTCAAGTGTTTCAGCCGGCCTGAAGGATGGGCACCTCCAGGCATGAAGCCGCCAAGTGTTGAACATGCACGAGGTGGTGCTGTGCAAGGTTCAGGTGCACAAGGTGATGGTGCACAAGGTAAAGCCGACCCTGGGATGTTCCTCATGGTTGAGGATGTGCAAGGGAGTGGGGGTGATGTGGGCTTAGTTGGGAAGGTTGTGATGCACCCCCTCACTCATTGGGTGATCGATTCAGGTTGCACGAGTCACATGACTCCACGGGCAGATTTGCTTGATGAGGTGAAGCCCCCTGGGAAGATACAGTTTGTGGCTGCCGCTTCAGGTGCCTTGCTCCCTGTGATTGGTGTTGGGAGTGCCAAGGTTATGGGAGCTAATGGGGGGCTTGTGGGGCTGGGAAATGTGCTGTTGGTTGAAGGTGATCCGCACTGACAACGGAGGAGAGTTCATCGGCGCTGATTTTGAGAAGGAGCTGAAGCGGAAGGGGATCCAGCATCAGCTCATTGTGCCTTACAACCCTCAGCAGAATGGCATGGCTGAGCGGTTCAACCGGACTCTGCAAGAAGGTGCTCGCACTCTCCTTGGGCGTGCAGGGCTGCCGGATCCGTTTTGGGTGACAGCACTGCGGCAGGTCTCTGTTGTGAAGAACCGGGTGCTGGCGACAGTGGGGGACAAGCAATGGGTCCCCTACACCAAGTGGTATGGGAGTGCACCAGCAGTCAACATGCTGAGAGCCTACGGCTTCATGGTGGTGTTTCATGTGCCTAAGGAGAAGAGGGGAAAACTGGAAGCTTCTGGGAGATGGGGTGTGCACTTGGGGCTTGCTAAGGATAACAAGGGCTGGCTGATTTGGGACTTGACCAGCCAGCAGCTGACTGTGTCGAGGGATGTGAAGTTCCTTGAGTCCTTGTACTACAAGGAGTGGAAGCAGCAGCAGCAGAAGCTTCCCACTACACCGCTGATCATTGAGGCTGATGAGGTGCAGCGGCCTTCGAGGCAAGTGCAGGTCACTGTCTCAGAGGAGGAGATTTATGGGGTGACCGAGGATGGGGGAGAACCTGAGGTGGAGGAGCAACAGCAGCCGCAGCAGCATCAACAGCAGTAGCAACGGCAGCAGCAACGTGCTCCACCATGTGCCCCACGCCCGCCTGAGCGTCCTAGGAGGGATATACGCCCACCTATTAGGCTGAGCTATAATCGCACTGGCTCACGAAATGTGGAGCATGCTGGAAGTGTGGCTGAGCAGTGTGATGAGGAGGAGATATCGCACTGTTAGTGGGCAGCCGTCCCTGAGCCCAAGACCCTTACTGAGGCCTTGAGTGGGCTCGATGCTGAGAAGTGGAAGCAGAGTGTATGACTCTCTGCTGGAGAATGAGACGTGGGAGCTGTGTGAGCTGCCTCCAGGGAAGAAGGCCATTTCTTCCAAGCTGATTTTCAAGCACAAGTACGGACCTGATGGGGAGCTGACCCGCTACAAGTCAAGGCTTGTGGCTAAGAGGCTCCAACAGACAAAGGGGAAGGACTTTGATGATATCTTTGCTCCTGTGGGGAAAGGCACTACACTGAGGACGATATTGGCAATGGCTGCAAACCGTGGCTGGAAGATCAAGCAGATGGACATAATCACTGCCTTCCTTAATGGAATCATTCTGGAGGAGCTGTACATGCTGCAGCCTGAGGGGTTGGATGATGGGAGCGGCAGGGTGTGCAGGCTCAAGAAGGCCATCTATGGCCTGAAGCAGGCTCCTCGCGCATGGTACCACAAGCTGGAGGAGACACTGCTGGCCGGGGGGTTCAAGAAGAGCGAGTGTGATCACAACCTGTTCCTGCTGCAAGAGAAGGAACAGTTCCTCATACTCCTGGTGTACGTGGACGACATCCTGCTCTTCTCTGAGTCGTTTGCGATGATTGAACGTGTGGAGGAGATGCTGGAAATGCAGTTCAAGTGCTCCAAGATGGGAGATGTAAAGTACTACCTTGGGATGCACATGGAGAGGGACCTTGACAAGGGAGTGTTGAGTTGCACCAGAGGAAGTATTGTGAGGGGCTGGCTGAGAAGTATGGGCTGCAAGATGCAGGAAAGCCAGCCACCCCACTGCCTTCGGGGTTCACTGTGGAGCCCTGTGCTGATGAGGAGGTGGTGGGGGAGAGTGACAGGAAGTTGTTTCACTCCATGGTGGGGGCACTCAACTATGCGGCTAACCACACGCGGCCTGACATTGCCTTTGCTACATCCAGGCTTGCGAGTGTGGTTTCACGCCCCAGTCATGAGCAGCTGGAAGCGGCCAAGAGGTTGGTCCGCTATGTGAGTGCAACGGCATCAGTGGGTTTGGAGTACAGTGCTGTGCGACAGAGGCTACAGAAGGGTGCAGCTGATTTGAGCAAGGGGGAGATGCGCTTGACTTGCTACACCGACACTAGCTTCAACTCAGTGAAGACGGATGGCACCAGCATTGGAGGCTATGTGTGCCTCTTTGGAGGTGGTGCAGTGAGCTGGCGCAGCAAGAAGCAGAACGAGGTGGGGTTGTCCTCGTGTGAGACAGAGTACATGGCCCTGCATCATGGGGCAAAGGAGGTGGTGTGGCTGAGGCGTTTGTTGGAGGAAATCGGAGTGTGTCAGAGGGAGCCGACTGTGATTTTCTGTGACAATGAGTCGGCGGTGAAGCTTGCGAAGAATGCCTGTCTTCATGACTTGACAAAGCACATCAGGCCAAAGTGGCATTGGAAAAGGAGGCTCCTGGACAAGGAGGTGCGGCTGGAGATTGTGAAGACCCAGCAGCAGGCGGCTGACATTCTCACCAAATGCCTGGCAAAACCTGAGCATTGGAAGGGCATGAAGCTTGCGGGAATGAGTGTGCATTGAGGGTGCATGCTTGAGTTATGGCATGTGGGATGATGGTTGGCAGCCAGAGGGGGAGTTTGTTGTGTGATGCAACCATATGCATTCACGTCTGTCTGCCTCCCATCATGTGTTTGTGCGTTGCATGCGTGGTGTGAGCGTGTGGAAGAATTTGTGTTTGAGGTGGTTTGGTTTTTCAGAGTGAGTGTATGTTATTTGGCTTGAGCAGATATCTGAAGTGATTCCTCTACTCAAGAGCTTTACGACGAGCCAAGAATCGTCGCGATCGAAGCACAACCAAGAAAGTTACGAACATTGGAGTTCGTATGCTTATATATTTTGGCTGCAGCTACTTTGGGAAGTTGTGGCATTGACTCAATATGGGGTACAGACTTGTGGGGGTTGGGAAATTCGAGCCCATTACTGTAGACACTTGCCAAGTGGTTGGGTGAAACCAAACCAGGTTGGCAAGTGTGGCCAAGTTGGGCAAGGTGGATGGCATGGGTTGGGAAAGTGACAAAAGTGAAAGTGGGGTTGCCTATGGAGAGGGGAATTGTGTGGCATGGGGTTTCCTTGGTTGGGGACTCTCTTGGGACCTTCCCTCTCGTCCTCCTCATCCCATCCCACCTGGTTCATTGCCACTCCAACTCTCTTGTGTAGTAATTGTGAACTTGTGAGTTAATTGTGATTGAGTTAAATTTCTGTAGCAGCGTACCCTCTAGTGCGCCGAAAAGCATAACTCAAGATATGCTTCATATTTTGATACGGTTCAAATTGGGAAATGTAGCCACGGTCTAGGGCTACATCATATTCGAATTTCGTGGGATTCTAACGGTGCACCGTTTGTCGACAACGTTTCTTGTGAAGTCGACGTTTCTGTCCAGAAAATGAGACCAACGATTTTGAGAAATTTAGGCACCCAATCTTCATAGACTCCGTCCTTAGTCTGTAACACAGCCTTTCCCACTCTCGCTGACCTCATTACACACCTTCGCACTAGTGACACCCACTACTGAGCTGCGCTTCCTGCTGAGTTCTGCGCCAAGAACCCTCCCCCCCCATGTACATCACCCTCTACTACATAGTCACCCGGCCCCCTGACTCCCTTCACTCGGTGAGGGACCACTTCCTCTCTGTTTGCCCCACCACACTCACCGTTGACCTCCACGAGGAGCGCCTCCTGGCAGCTGAGAAAAGTATAGTTGCTGTAGGAGCCTCTCGTGGTGACCCTCGTGCCCCCTTCTTTGAGGGGTGCTCCCCCTCCTCCCTGTTGCCCTCTGTTGCCTCTGCTGCTGCCGTTGACCTCGTTGGCTTCGAGTCGGCCAGAGCTGCGTCTGCCCCTAGCGGGAGACACTGCACCGGCAAGGCCAAGGGGGGCAAGGGCGCTGGAGGGGCTGGCGGGGGCGGTGGAGGTGGCGGTGGAGGCAGTGGAGGGGGTGGGGTTGGTGGTGGAAGTGGTGGCGGGGGTGGAGGTGTCGGTGGCAGCAGTGGAGGCGGAGGAGGTGGCGGCGGTGGTGGTGGGAGCCGCAGCGGCGGAGGTGGCGGAGGAGGCGGCGGCAGCGATGGAGCTGGTCGCGGCTCTGCGCACAGGAGTGGCTCCGGTGGTGGTCCGCGCCAGCTGCAGCAGCGCACCCGTGAGACCCTGTCGCCCAAGCAGCTTCGTGAGTGGTACGCTGCGCGTGAGCGAGGTGGGGGTACTGGTCCCTGTACCTACGTCATCCGTACCGGCGACCGCGCTGGTGAGCAGTGCGGGGGCTCGCACTCCACCCAGCGCTGCTTCGGCCGTCTGACGAACGCTTGGTGTCACCAGTTCCCTGATGCCACTGAGATCCCTCGCTGGGGAGAGCTGTCTAGGGCGGGGGTTGCTATCTTTGATCTTGATTATGATGCTATTCTTGCTGCCATGTATGCTGAGTCTAATAGTGATGAGGGTGACTGTTACCTGTGCGTTCCGCCTGACCCGGGCATTGAGGCTGCTGCTCTAGGTGCTGGTGAGGTTGCTGCTCTAGGTGCTAGTGCGTCTGCTTCCCCAGGTGCTGGTGAGTGTGTTCTCTCAGGTACCACGTCGGCTCAGGCCTTACACACCTTCACCCTTGACTCGGGTGCTTCCTGCTCCTTCTTTCGAGACCGCACCACTCTTACGCCGCTTAGCCGGCTGGTTGCAGTCTCCCTTGCGGACCCCTCTGGGGGTCCTGTCCTTGCTCGCTTCTCCAGTGTCTTACCGTGTTCGGCAGCACCCTCTGGCACCCTGTCCGGTCTCTACCTCCCCTCGTTCTCTACGAACTTGGTGAGAGGTGTTGACCTACAGGATGGGGGGGTTGACCAGTTCACTCCTGCGGGTCAGCGGGTGCTCGAACGGGCCGACACTTGGCCACGTTTACCCGTCGGCCGGGGTCGAGCCTGTACACACTAACTACCGAGTCTCCTCCGGTTGCTGAGTAGGGTGAGGTGGCTGCGTTGAGTCAGGTATTTGCTGCAGCATCCAGGTCTGGTCCTGAGTCTGCTCCCTGCTCGTGTCATCTCCTGTCCCACCAGACTCTTCTTTGGCACCATCGCCTTGGTCACCCCTCCCTGCCTCGTCTCCGAGGTATGGCCTCCCGTGTCCTTGTCTCTGGTCTTCCCCGGTCCCTCCCTCCCCTCCCTCTGGGGCCTGCCCCTACCTGCGTTCCTTGCCTTGAGGGGCAGCAGCGCGCCGCCCCTCACTCCTCCGAGTTTCCTCCGACTGAGGCCCCACTGCAGAATCTTCACATGGACGTGTGGGGCCCCGCCCGCGTCCGTGGCCAGGGTCACGAGCGTTACTTCCTGTTGGTGGTTGACGACTACTCGCGTTACACCACGGTGTTCCCCTTCCGCAGCAAGGGTGACGTCACCGGGGTGTTGATCGACTGGATCTGCGTGTGCACTCTGACAGAGGCGGGGAGTTTTCGTCTGCCCGTCTTTGAGCCTTCTGCCGTGCACAGGGCATCCGCCAGACCTTCACGCTTCCGGCCTCTCCACAGCAAAATGGGATTGCTGAGCGCCGCATTGGCATGGTCATGGACTGTGCTCGTACGTCCATAATCCATGCGGCTGCTCCCCATTTTCTGTGGCCGTTTGCAGTTCACTATGCAGCACATCAGCTCAACCTTCAGCCCCGGGTCTCCTTGCCAGAGACCTCCCCCACCTTACGGTTGACGGGGAAGGTTGGCGATGCATCTGTGTTTCGTGTCTGTGGATCTCGGGCATTTGTCCGCGACTTGTCTGCGGACAAGCTGTCCCCCCGTGCTATTCCCTGCGTCTTCCTTGTCTTCCCTCCTGACGCGCCTAGTTGGCAGTTTTACCACCCCACCTCGCGCCGTATTTTGTCCTCCCAGTACGTCACCTTTGACGAGTCCGTGCCTTACTACCGTCTCTTCCCCTACCGCACTGCGCCCCTCCCCCCGCCGCCGCTCTTCCTTGCGCCAGGTCCTCCCCCGGTAGACCCCCTCCCTGTCAACATTATATATGTTGTAGTTAGTTTAGGCTACAGTGGGTTAGCCTATAGAGGGTACACAATTCTAGGGTTAGGTTTTGACCTATTTGTACCCAACTGCCATTCTAGTCAATCATTCCTGTTTCATACTTCTGAGATGGTTTCAGAGCAGGTCCTTCGCTAGGACCGAATTTTTTTTAAGGGCCCACCACTACCTATCTCACTACATGCGCCTAGGGCGCCTCGTTCTTACGGCCCATTGAGGCCCTCGCGCTAGCCTCTTAAGGCCCCTCACAGCCGCGTCGCCCCTTAGCGACCTCTTCGGCCCCGCGCTTACCTCCCTAGAGGCCCCGTCGGCCCCACGCTAGCCTCTTACGGCCCCCCCTTCAGGCCCCGAGCTAGCCCCTTAAGGCCCCGTGCGGCCCCGCGCTAGCCTCTCACGGCCCCTTAGGCCCCGCGCTAGCCCCTTCGGGCCCCCATCGGCCCCGCGCTAGCCTCTAACGGCCCCCGAACGGCCCCGCGCTAGCCCCGAACAGACCCGTTCGGCCCCGCGCTAGCCCCGAACGGCCCCGTGCGGCCCCGCGCTAGCCCCGAACGGCCCCTTCAGGCCCCGCGCTAGCCCCTTAAGGCCCCCTGTCGGCCCCGCGCTAGCCTCTCACGGCCCCTGAACGGCCCCGCGCTATCCCCAAGCAGGCCCAGTGCGGCCCCGCGCTAGCCTCTCACGGCCCCTTCAGGCCCCGCGCTAGCCCCTTAAGGCCCCCCCGTCGGCCCCGCGCTAGCCTCTCACAGCGCGACACGGGCGAACCGCGCGACCCGAGCCGAGCCGCGCGACTTGAACCAAGCCGCGCCGCCCCCAGCCGAGCCGCGCCATCCAGCCGAGCCGCGACCCGAGCTGCACCGAGCCGCGCCACCCTGCCCTATCTGGTTCGTCCTACCTATTTCTGCTACTGCTACTGCTACTGCTACTGCTGCTGCTGCTAGTCTACTGTTCCTATGGCTAGCCCACAGGTTCTTGTGTTCGATGCTGAGGGCCGCCCTGTGAAGTTTGACACCTGGCTCGATGACCTTCACCTCTACCTACAACTCACAGCCAAGGATGACATCTCACTGTACGACCACGCCCTAGGCAATGTCACTGCCCCTGCTGCTACTGCTGACAGCACTGCTCGCTCACGGTGGCAGACTCGTGATGCCCACGCTCGCTTCGCCATTCGCAACTCCCTGCCGATAGACGAACGCGAGCACTTTGGCCAGCACAAGACTGCACAGGCACTGTACACAGCTGTAGTTGCTCGCTACTCCTCACCGGCCTCTGCCGCACTAGGCCGTCTCTCCCTCCCCTACCTGTTTCCCGACCTGGCCTCTTTTCACACAGTCGCTGACCTCATCACGCACCTCCGCACTAGTGAGGCCCGCTTCCGTGCCGCCATGCCTGCTGAGTTCCTTACCACGCACCCCCCTCCACTCTGGCTCACTCTCTACCACCTAGTCACCCGCCTCCCTGACACACTACGTGCTGTCAGGGACCACTTCCTAGCTCGTTGCCCCACTGAGCTCACCATTGCCCTCCTCGAGAAGGAGCTCCTTGCAGCTGAGACTAGCATAGTCGCTGTAGGTGCCTCTCGTGGCGACCCCCGTACCCCGTTCTTTGAGGGGTGTTCTCCTTCCCCCCTTCTTCCCTCTGTCGCCTCTGCTGCTGCTGTCGACCTTCTCGGTGCTGAGAAGGTCGGCGCTGCGTCTGCCTCGAGCGAGCGCCGCAGCGGCAAGGGCAAGGGTGGTAGCAGTGACGGCGCGGGAGGCGGCGGTGGGAGCGGTGGAGGCAGTGGGGGTGGTGGCTCGGCCGGAGGGGCGAGTGGTAGCGGTGGGGGTGGTGGCGGCGGCGGCGAGGGAGGTGGTAGGAGTGGAGGCGGCGGTTGGGGTGGCGGTGGACGAGGCGGCGGCAGGGGTTGGGGTGGTCGAGGGGGTGGCAGCGGTGGTGGTGGCCGTGGAGGCACTGGCGGTGGCCAGCGCCAGCAGCACACTCCCTCGCCCCAGGAGGTCCGTGAGTGGTACTCTCAGCACGGGGGTGGGGGTGGTCTTAGCTGCACATACGTCATTCGCACTGGTGACCGCACTGGTCAGCAGTGTGGACGACCGCACGCCACACAGCGCTGTTTCTCTCGTCTCGACGACGCTTGGCGTGTTCAGTTCCCTCAGGCCACTGAGCTGCCCCGCTGGCTTGATCTCCGGAAGAAGGGGATTGATATCTATGCTCTAAACTTTGATGCTATTCTATCTGCCATGTATGTGATGTCTACTAGTGGAGAGGGTGCCGAGTACTTGTGTGTGCCGCCCGACCCGGGCATTAGGGCCAGTGCGTCTGCAGCTCCAGGTACTCGCGTGTCGGCTACCCCAGGTGCTGGTGAGGCTGCTGCTCTAGGTGCTCGTGTGTCCCCCCCCCCTGGTACTGTGTCGACTGCCGCACTGCACACCTTCACACTGGACTCAGGTTCTTCTCGCTGCTTCTTTCGTGACCGCACTGCCCTTGAGCCGCTTGCTCGGCCAGTTGCTGTCTCACTTGCTGACCCCTCTGGGAGTCCGGTCATTGCGACCTCTTCAACTGTCCTTCCCTGCCCTGCGGTCCCGTCGGGCACACTGTCAGGTCTCCACCTCCCCTCGTTCTCTACGAACTTGGTGGCAGGATGTGCTCTCCAGGACGGGGGTGTTCACCAGTTCACCCCTGCCTACGAGCGTGTGACCCACTGCACGTGTGCTCGTACGGGCCGTCACTTGGCTACCTTCACCCGGCAGCCGGGGTCGGACCTGTACACACTGACTACTGCCTCCCCTCAGGTCGCTGCGTCTGCGTCTGCGTTCGCGTCCGCCTCAGGTCAGCTGTCTGCCCCCTGCTCGTGTCGCTCTCTAGCGCACGACACTGTCCTCTGGCACCACCGACTTGGCCACCCGTCTGTGCAGCGCCTTCGTGCCATGCAATCCCGGTACCTTGTCTCTGGTCTTCCCAGGGTCCTCCCTCCCCTCCCACCCTCGCCTACTCCTCCCTGCCTTCCCTGTGTCGAGGGGCGGCAGCGCGCCGCTCCTCACTCCTCCTCGTTTCCCCCGACTACTGCTCCTTTGCAGACGCTCCACATGGACGTGTGGGGCCCAGCCCGCGTCCGTGGTCAGGGTCAGGAGAGGTACTTCCTGATAGTTGTTGACGACTACTCGCGCTACACCACGGTCTTCCCCTTGCGCACCAAGGGTGAGGTCCCTGATGTCTTGATCCCTTGGATCCGCAGAGCCCGTCTCCAGCTCAGCGAGCGTTTCCGCTCGGACTTTCCTATCCTGCGCTTGCACTCTGACAGAGGTGGTGAGTTCTCCTCCGACCTCTTGGCAGCCTTCTGTGCTGAGCACGGCATTGAGCAGT